CTATTTGGTCACTATCTGTTGTCACATAAGTCCTAGTGTAGATACTGATTCCATCTACGTTCAGCATCACTTGATACGGCACATAGACTTCCACATAGCGGCGAGGGCCACCCGTTGTTAGTAGTGCTCGCACAGCTCTCGACTCAGTGCGTGGCTCCACCTGCCTCAGATAATCTGAAAATGTGTCCAAATGCATCAAAGTGAACTCGGATGGTTCACTCAGATTTCTGATTACCTGGTGTCCAGCCACCGAGATTATCGACTGTAACTTGCTTCCATGCGGCACCATGCTAAACTTCTGACCGGAGATCACATTAAGATTCATGCTCAAACTGCTTGGTGCTTTAGTCTCTTCGACCTCCGTTGCTTCGAAGGTATTCAGTTGCTCCTGTAGTTTCTCATTTTCCAGTTCGAGTTGCACTTTTTGTTCGATATCTTTCGTCACCAGTTCCTGCTGCACTCTATTTAGAGCATCCCTCGCGGCTGCCCTATAATCAATCTTGAAGTCATCGGCCGCAGTCACTGGTTCCGGTTCACATGTCTCTTCAGTTACCGCTTGCATTTTCTTCGTCGCCAGCTCTTGCGGTTTGTCTTTTCTGCGCGCCTCCGCTTCACTCAACAGGCGAGCCTTGCTGGCTTTCACTCCTGATAAGGCTTCCTCATGCCTTGGATGCTTGATGTCTGTCACTGCATCCCAGAATTGCGGACAACCTGATTTATAATGACCTTCCAAGTTGCAAAAGAAACATCTCGGGCCGAATTTTGCAATTAATCCTCTCATGAAATCCTCATGGTCAACTTCTGACGCATCTTCGTCCTCGAGGCTAAAACCTATTGCTTTCATGCCTTGTTTGTAACTTGGGCATGCTGACACATAATGGTCCGTTGAACTGCAATTGGCACAAGAGCGTCTCTTGTCCATATCATCCCTCGGTTTGTACCAGTTGTTCCCTTGGCTTGCTGGCCCGTTGTTAAAATTGCCATAACTGTTCTTATAATATCCCGATCTCGAAGGAGACTTCAACAAAAGATATTCTTCTGACTTGAGCCTCAACTCCTCTGGTGTTGGCGCATTGGTTGATAGTGGTGTGTAATGCGTCGCTAGCATTGTTCGAAGTTCATCATTCTTCACACCATCGATGAATTTTGAGGCTACTGCCAGGTTCATCCTTCTGTTTGACTCATCCGGTTTGCTGCGTCTTCTCAGCATTTCCAAGTCGTCCAGGAACTTGTCTATCGTTTCATCTTCTCGTTTCCTCCGTTTCTCGAAGCGCATCATTTAACGTGTTGTCTGTTGGAGATCTTCTAGTTGCCACTCTTTCAGTAGAGATGTCGGACAGTTCCGACATCTCCTCTCGGTCCAGTGTCCCGGTGGAAGTGGCAAAATCTTGGCCTTGTTCTACCGGAGTAGATTCACTCGCCAGCCTTCTGTCTCTCCCCTCCGGTCCATGTATTTCCTGGTTCTCATTCATGGCCTGGTCCGTATGGACCTCCCCTTCTAACATAGCTTTTCGCTCTTCTGAGGACTTCTGACTCCTAGTTTCAACCATTCTGTCTGAAACCGTCTCCCCTTTGTCGGTCCGGGCTCGTGTAATCCGTTCCACAAAAGGTTCGGTCTTTGCTCTTCTTTGCTTTTTAGGTATGAATTTCCTAGAGCTATTGCCTCCTTTAGGTATCCTTGACTTGTCTAGACTCATTCTCAGTTTGTCACTTCTTAATGCCTAAACACTCAATTTGATTGCTAGTGACCTTCGAGTTTGACTATCGATAATAATAACACAACGCAAAAATTTCCAAAAAATTCTACTAAGTAGTGACCACGAATCCCTGTATGTTATCAAAGTACAGCTTGTACATAATTTATTCACACTAACCGATTATTGGTCGTAAGATTTGAGAACTAGCATAATATGATGATATCAGTCAATTTAAAAGATAGTTTACTCACTGCCCAATCAAGCACAAATTGTTGATATAAAACCAGATATAACAAAATAAGAATAATTTTATGAAAAACGTATGTGTATTGTACTTTTAGTCAGTCGCAGTACAATAGTCGAACTTTTATTTTAACGAAAAAGCTTTCACTGCTTGGTGCTGCACCAAACAGACAAAACTTTGAAGGCAGTAATTTTCTCAAGTGGGCGTCTATTGCACCCACCGAGTACTGTGTTACCTATCTGCCTTCGGACTGCCCGAGCTAGACCTACTAAAATCCTCAGGGCAGTCACTTTTCGCAAAAACGTATTGGGTTTCAGTCCACACCAATGAGTTACACTCTTTTTTAATTTAGACTTAGTGTCGCGAATATCCGAGTTCGGACCTGTTTTGTTTTGGTCTGGTCTTTATTGAAAGGCAAGTTACCAGTGCAGTCACTGATTCCTAGCCTGTCTGTTAATAACCTAATACCTCTCACTATAATCTTATCTTCTGCTTACCTAAGTCCTTTAATAAAATAATACCACTCCGGGTTGACAAAAACAGTACCCCTCCGGATTGGCAAAATAGGACCCTTCCGGATTGGCAAAAATAGGACCCTTCCGGATTGGCAAAATTGAGACCCCTCCGGATTGGGACCCCTCTGAGTTAGCAAATATAAGACCCCTCCAGATTAGGACCCCTCCGGTTTCGTGAAAACAAGACCCCTCCGGATTGGGACCCCTCCGAATTTGAAAAATTTTGGACCCCTCCGGATTGGGAGCCCTCTGGTTTTGTAAAAGTAGCTTTTCGGAGATTTCCTTGATTTTCAACCTATACCCCTCCGGATACGTTCTCCGATGCTATATGCTGTTTGAATTCACTAGAAAGGGTATGTGATCTTTTCCTAGACCCTTCCGGATTGAAGTTAAGCCTCTTATTTGACAATTCACGCTAACGATGAAGGGTCTTATCGCTTGCCTAACTTCGGCTCAATTAAGGTTTTCTTGTGCCTTTAGCCTTTCTTTTTCGTCTAGAACAGCCTAAAGTTAATTTATTCGACCGCTATCACCTTTTTGGTAGGGGTGTAAGGGCTTTCCTAAAAAAATTTATAAAACGTGAAGGGTCTACCCTCGCGAATTGGTGAATTTGCTAAAAACAATCTCACAAATTTTCACGATTACTTTTTTTGAATAATTTTTGTTCCTATTAGTAAGCTCAGCTAATTTCTGATCTATTGGTACCAAGATCAATTGGATCTGTCCAGTAGTTCCAAAGTTATTAACCAAAACGTCTTTTCTCTTAAGTCAAAAAATTTCTCTCGTATAGGTTCCACCGAACTTTTTCCGCAATTCTGTTCTCTTCGACCTAAAAATTTTTGATCCGAGCTCAGAAGGCCTCTATTCTTCTAGTTCAATGCAAAAACGCTTCCGATCTAAAACGCTTTAGTTGAAAAAAATTGCGAAAAACTTGCTACCTGGACCCCTCCGGATTGATGAATCCACTAAATCAAACACGTTAAGTTCGATTTCTCTGTAACCCGGAAGGCTTTCGGAAAGCGGGTTTTAGAATCTGTAGATTCATTAGTGGAAATTGTCCGAACAACTATTTTTACTGTCCTAACGCAAAAAATTTCAAAAAATTTTTCTGATTTTATAGTGTTCCGTTTTCTCAAAATTCGCGAAATTTCGGTTTTTGGTACTAAAATATTTCCAACCACTTCCGAACTAAACTTAACCGGTTCTACCTACTATAGTAGTGCAATTACAATGTAACGCACTAATTTAGCGCTTTTTTCTTTTTCAAAAAATATCGATATGTCAAAAATTCCGATTTGTGGGGGGGATCAAAATATCGCTATTCTGACCTTAAAAACCGGTCTGTTTTTTTTGTTAGTTTTTTCACTGAAAAACGATATAGGAGTATTAATATAGACTTTATAATCAATAATTTTAGGAATTCTATACCCCTCCGGGTTTGTTTAATATCCGAATTAAGGTGCTTAACTCGGATATTCGCAGTTCGGTGAAGGGTCACTACAGTGCAGCACTGTCGAGCCCCCCACAGATTACTATCTTAATTTTTGTACCAAAAGGGATACAAAACTTGTTAACGATACCCAACAGTCGGTTGTCTTGTTGCTCCTTGTACTGCTTGCCGGATCAGTCTTCTCCCAAGACCCCTCCGGATTGAGCGCAAATCAGCAGACCCTTCCGGATTAAGCGCAAATTAGCATTAACGTGCTTAAATGCTCAAACAACCCTACAGTACAAGCCTCACAAACGAGCTACAGTAATGATCGTAACAATCCTGACTGATATAAATGCCTGTAACAACAATATATCTATCAACAACAAACGGGAGGGTCGGATAACATCTTGTCTGGGGGGATGATTTCTACTGAATTTTTACTTTTTTTTTTACTGTTTTTGGTTTTTTCGGTTATTTTTTATGTTTTTTGTTTTTCTTGGATACTATACTACTTTTTGTTTGGTTTTATATATATTTTTAAGTGTTTTTGGTCACAGACCTCTCAGCGAACGAGGGGATGGCCGATCCCCCCACCCTTCCTGGTTCGTGAATTTTCGGTCTTAACTAGGTTAAAAAGCTATTCACGGTAATCCGGAAGGCTTCCGCGTTCCGAACTACCCTTCCGTCCCGGCGATTTTGGCCTATTAAGGGCGTTGATGTGAGCATCCGCTCGGCGCGGAGTGCTCGTTAACGGTTCTGCCGGTCATGATGTTAAAAAGAATAATACCCAGGAGCGCCATAAAAACATCTATGTAACATTCGCCCGAAAGATACATATCGACGGAAAATAAAGCTAGGTCCTAAGACGACTGGCCAACGTCTAAACAGAGCTCTACATGTTTTTCACCGTCTCTACCAAAGCTAGTTCTTTTGGTGGTCTTTCTAACATCGGGTCGACAAAAACGTTACTGTTCTCCGGCTTCGACCAGAACGCTCAAATTAACTTAATTACATGCAAAATCAGCGAGCTCATGGCTGGGTCTCAGTATCCCCAGACCACGGAGTCACTCCTAAAAACAGGGCTACTACTACTTCTTCAATTATTATTGTTTTTGTTCAGTAGATAAAAATCGTCATCTCCATCGAAGATGGATCAACCCTTGCCCCCAACTCCTAGCTTCTCATCCTAGCAAAATGAATTCAGATGTTAACTAAATTCAATTCAGGACATAATAGGGAAGCTAAAAGTTTATATTAAATGCTATGAGTTTCAGTCCCGAGACCCCTCCGGATTCTTGAATCCGGGGAAAGAAGACCTCTATTTTCCTTCCGGAAGGCTGTCTTCTACCCTTCAGGGTTGTTCCCAACGGCCTTGCAACTATTGTAGCGACAAAATAGTTGCAACTAGGAACGGTATCTGCTATTTCTGCTCGTCTCTAATTCCGATTCTAAGTTTTTCCGTTGTTATCGTCGCAACTACTGTTGTTGTGTTTTATTTTGGTTTTTCTGCCAAAATGGCCGTTTCTGACGTTTCTCAGAAATATGACGTCATACTTCGAAAATTTAAAAATTTGAAACACCAGAATATTCTAGCCTTCACAGTTTGGCCAATCGTTCCAATAGCACCGCTAATCCTTCAAAACTGCTAATTCGGAAGGCTAGCTGCTAAAATTTCGAATCTGCATTTTCGCCTATTCTGGTACAATGTCACAGCTCTTTGTACAACAAATCAATGTCAGCGTCTCTCCACCATGCTATCTCCTCGCTGCTCGCCGCCGTCTCCAACTCCAGGTCCACCTCACCGTCGGGGAAGGTGCTGGGGTCACCAGCATCCCTCGACCGTCCATCTCCCATCGCTGGAGTACTCATGAAGTAAGGTTCTGCACCCAACGGCCATCTGAGAGGGCCGGGCGACTGACGCGGCTAAACTAAGAGCCTTCCATACGAGTAATTGACAACGGGAGTCCGCAATATCTTCTCCACATTGGGCCACATCTGGCTGATTCACTGTCGCATCATGTCCTTCACTCATTGTTGCATCCACGGGGTTGTCGCATCCACAGTGCCCCTTTACTGTTAGTCCATTTCTTGATTTCTTTTATAGTCATTTTCGCGCAAATTATGTGAAACCAATTTCCACAATCACAACATCGGATACTGTACTCGTTCCCTATCAGTCTCGAGCATGATGCACACCTCCAGGTTTTCGGCATTGCTGGAGCAGTCCTGCTGTGATATTGATCGTGTCAGTGTCCGGGTTCTGCAACCATCATACCGGAAACTATTTAATAAATTTATCACAACAATCGTATTTATTAAAGCAAAGTGTCATCAAACGTTGGGTTTTGTTTTCAGATTTCAAAATGAAATTGTATGGATCCCTTACTAGCTTTTATATTGGCAATACAATTTTTTGCATGGCCTATATATTCATAAAATTGTTTACTCCGTTTTGTAGGGTAGCACTGAAAAGTGAAGATGGTCCGATTGGCACTCCTAAGTCCCCTGGGCCATTAGATGATGTATGTGGAGCCCTTAGTATGCAAGAGTATCAAATTTTTATGTTTCTCGGAATAGTGATTTGCGTGAAGACCCGAAAAGTTGGTAGCTGGCAAGATTTTGCAAGTACTTGCTTCTTATTTACTAAAGTTGCCAATGCAGGTTTATTCTACTTCCAAAACGGGGTTGCTTGTTGTGTTTACATGATTGCAACAGTGCTAGTTTTCTTTGTTTTCCCTGAACCAGTCTACAAGGGTCCGGAGAACATTACTTATTTCACTGCACAAACTTTTGACGAGGCTTTGAAATTAGCGAAGTCTAAAAAGATCTCATGGCTGATTGAGTTTTACTCCAACTCCTCTCAACCATGTTTAAAAATGTCGCCATATTTTTCCGAAGTTAGCAACTCCTATTCTCTCAAAAACCTTAAATTTGGAAAGATTGATGTGTACCGATTCCCTCAAATTGCCGAAAGATTTCAAATCCACAACGGTTTGCTGCGAAATGACCTGCCGACAATGATTTTCTTCGAGAATGGTGAACCGATAACAAGAAGACCTGCTAAGACTCTGAAAGGCACTGCTCTGATTGTGCTACCATCTACTAAAAGTATTGTGACTAATTTTGATCTGAATAACGTCTACCAAAACTGCAAAAAGTCTCAATAATTGAAGAATAAGACCTAAAATTTTATAAGCACGCAATATTTGTACCAGATGTTTGCTAGCAGATATTTGATAATCAATTATTTCTTGACAATGTTTTAAAATGTCCTAATTGCCCCTGAGCAGCTCAGTTTAAACACCCAAGATGGAACAATTAATTGATGAAGTAAAAGTCTGTTGTTTTTCCAGATTTTATGGTTTGAATATAACAATGAGTAATGCGAGATATCCATACAATAGCTACGAGGAGTACAGAAATCAGAGTTACGCAAAACCGAAGAAGAGTGTTAATGGTACTTCGTCAGTATCTGAGAATGACCAAAACCAACAAACGATGCGAGTCAGTGACACGAAGAAACGAAAAGATAAAAGTCACAGAGAACAAGGCAGAAAGTCGTACCCGATGAGACGACGAGTTTTAGAGTCGTCTTCTTCGTCACAGCATATGGAAGATGAAGAACCTGCTCATGAGTACAAAAGCGACCATGTAGACCTAGTGCAAAAATACACTGGCTCTTTAATACAGACTCCAAAACTAACTGATAAGGCAACAGAGGAGAGAGTACAGATGTCTTCCGGTCAGTCTAATTGAATTGAGTGTCTAAGAGTTGTTTTTGGAAAAAAGGGTCTTTTTGAAATTACAGGGCACAATTTAAAAAAATATTTGGTAGCATCCATTTTGCGAAAACCTTTTGATCTGCAGATGCTAATCATAAATCACTCTGATAAAGAAGCTTTCGAAGCCAGATTAAACTATGTCGTTCCTAAAAGAAGTTTACCTGAGTCAAATTTTAGGTGGTGAAACGGTATGTACAGAGAGAAGCGCAAATACTGACAGCGAAAGCGAGAGAGAGGAGAGTCGTACTTGGAATTTCCGACTGAGACGAGAAGATATGGCCTCCTTCAGTGAGATTGAGTCCAAGCTGTTTCGAAGGCTGTTGAGGAAGGTGATTAGAAACAACGGACAGGTTGTTACAACAGTTGAAAAGAAAACCGAAAAGGAGCAGCAGGACGAAAGCAAACGAAGCGCTTCGAATTACGCGATAGACCAAAGTAATAACACAGCAGTGGCACCGTCACCAGTAAAGCGTGTGAAAAGAAAACGAAAAATTATCACTCGCAGAGATAAAAACGGAGTCATTTTAGAGAAGATTTACAAGCCCTACGATGGCGACGAAACTTCAAAAGAGGACATAATAGTGAAGTATGAAAATGGACAGCCTGTTGGCTCGTTTACACCAGCGCAACTCGAGGAGTTCAATTTGAAGCAAAATGATGATAATGAAAAACGCGTGAATGTTTCCGATTTTAGAAATGAGTCTGAAATTGACACGAGTGAAACCAAATCAGCATTAAAATCACACGCAACCATTGAAATTGAACCATCTGATGTATTAATTGGAAATAGTGATTTAAAAACAGAACAAAGCTCTGAGTTAACGATTGGAAGTGTACAATCTGATACGTCTGAAAAAGAAAAATCTGTGACTCAAATTGAAGCGACGATAAGTGAAAACAAAGGATCGCGTTTAGAAGTTACCAGTTTACCTAATAAAGGATCTCAAGATGTCGGAATAAAAGATACTACTGCTCATGGCGAATCAGCGGCTAAGGGTGATCATGCGGGAGCATCGGTTGAAAAAGAAAAGCAGAGAATACAAAAAGCAAAAGTTAGTTGACGTCTGTTTTGACCGGCATGAATTTTGAAAGGCGCAGTACTTTTTCCTTTGCGCGCTTTAGCGAGCGTAGTGTAATAGTACGACTATTCTTTTTTTTCGATTAGTTATAAGTTAACAGTTAATGCGTTTTTAATTCATCAAATGAACCGAAAAAAGCAATAAAACTTGATCTCCGAAATGTTTCAACTCAATATATCTCGCAATTTTTTGAAATGCATAATTTATGCATATTTTGGCTTTATGCTTTCCAATTTTTTATATGTAAAAATAGTGTGGATGCCTTAGTTATTTTCTAAATTATTACATGCAATTGTGTCTATTTGCATTTGGTGCCAGTTTTGCTGCATGGCACTGGTAATTTCTTAGTATATGTGGCTTCTTTGTTAATGGCTAGTGTTATTAAATTGTCAAGGGTCCGTAGTGCAGATGCAAGGACAGGGAACTCTAACTTTCCTGGTCGTAGGATTGAATTCGCCACAGCAAAATTTCTAATTTCAAGACTTACTTTTACCTTTTGTTTTGATTTCACGTTAGAGCTACTTTTTTCTCATTTTCTCGCCTCGCTAGTGTTTGCGAAGCACAGTTTTACCTCTGTGTCCAAAAGTGATGTGTTTTCTTGTTTGCTGGTTTTAGTAATATTTACACTTGCGATTAGCAAACGGTGTCAAATCGGAACAAGATTTTTTCAAATTAGCAACTTGTCGCGACCAAAATAACTTAATCATATGATCAAATGTAAATTCTTGACCCCCAGCCACATACATAGCTTAATATTTTTTTTTTCAATAATTGTTTTGGTTAGCTAGTGTATGTCGATAGCAAGGTAATAGACTTAGCTCTGATTTTTTTAAAGTTCATTTTAATCTACCTTCATCGACTCTTACATAGGTCGTGAGTTTTTTCATTTTTTTGCAGGAAAAGTCTTAAAATGCTCTCATGGCCACAGAAAGCTGATTCATACACATTATTGCATTTGTTAATAACCATAGATATGTGTTAACTTTTTGAGTTCAATTCAAGTTGATTGGCTGAAAGGTAGGCAAAATTCGCTCTCCAATTATCCAAGATGAAATGGCGTGAAAAAACGTAGGGATACCTAAAAGATTCATGGAATTCAAATAGTTTTTATGTGATATTAGTTTTTCAAAAGAATAGTGTTTGATAAAAAAAAAACCGGTTCGCAAATATTACTTAATTAATTTTCACTAATTTTAATTTTTCACAAATACTACTGTCTCGATTCCCAAAAAAGTGAGACCAATTGAAAGATAGATTACTCCCCTGTGTGCCTGCATATATGCCTAGTCTCTTTTAATTGTATCCAGCTATCTACAGCCTAAGAAAAATTCTGTGGGGGGAATTTTCACCCTTATTTTTGGAATGTTTTCTTACTCAAAAACTACCCTTTAAATCTGAGATTTCCCATTCAATGCATAAAACTGGTTGTTGGACGCTCCCCTGCATACGCGGTTACGTCCTAATTTTTCCACATAAAAATTATGGCGCTCGGAAAAGTCAAATTTTTATTTTTGAACGTGTTTTGCAATGTTTTGACATCTCAGAAACCACCCTCCCAAATCTGAAGTTTTGGGTTTAACTGAAGGAACTAGTTGTGTGAAGCGCCCTGTACAAGCAGCTACGCACAATTTTGCTTACATAAAATGTTATGGCCCTGAGAAAAGTCAAGTTTTTGATTTTTTGACCCTGTTCTGAAAGTTTTTGATTTGTCTTCAAAACTACGCTCCCAAATTTGAGATTTTGAGTTCAATCAAAAGAAAGAGTTAAGTGAAGCTCCCCTGTATAAGCATATGTCTCGAATTATTGCCCTCGGAAAAGTTGGGTGTTTTATATTTCTCGAGAACTACCCGTCCAAATCTGATAGCGATGGTTTGATCGAGGAAACAGGTTGTGTTAAGCCTTCGTGCATCAGCGGCTACGGCTTAAAATTTGAATAAAAATATTGTCCTTGTGAAATTTCCAAAATATCAAAAATTTTCACTCCTATTTATTTCATCCAGCATCAGTAAAACAAATTTAAAATTGTTAAACTGGTAGCCACAGCTTTATGTGGTCTCCTAGTTAGTTATTTTTCAGGAAAAATCTAAATTCTTCATACTAAGTTTTCGGTGTTGGACTATTGCTTTTTTTCGTTTTTTCCCTTTGTTAAAAGGAAGACAAATTCCACTATCGAACAGCAAAAATGTAAAGGTCACAAATTTAATTTTCAGATTTCGCAGCGAAATAAAATATTTAACTATTTTTCAGTTTTCTCAAATTGGGTTAATTTTTATCAAAAAGCATCAATCATAAACCGTTTTTAAAAATTCAAAGAGCTTAAAGGACATCTATTTTTTTTCTATGAAATTCGAAAGCTGAGATTGTTTTAAAAAGTCTGCTTTGTTTTCTTGCGTTGATTGATTTTTTTTCGAGCTTGTCTGTTGGCTATGTTTTTGCGTTGTTGATGTTTGTTAAGTTAGATCACCGATAAATTTGTATTGGCATATTTGACGTTTTTTGCTTGCGCGGTTCAACTGCGTCAATCCGAAGCCGTTTTACTTAGGGGAGAGAAAAGTATGAAGAGGGTTTTTTAGACATTCAGAATGACGGAAATTTCAATGTCTCTGAAAATAAAAGCTTTAAGTAGGACATGAAAGTTTAACGAAACACTTTGTTTGAAATATCAAATCCATTTAGGATGGAGATTGTTTTATAACTGAAACGGTTTTTCATTTTAACCGGGGGGTAGATCTAGGATTTTCTCGTGGGGGGGGGGGTTGGATCCCCCTCGCGCTACCCTCTATATTTTGGCGCCGAAGGCGCCTTTAGAAAAAGTTTTAGGGTTCGTCAGCCAAAAATATCTCAAAATGGTACAAAGGGAGACCCTTTAGATAGGCAGGGTCGAATCCGTGAGCGGGGGAGGCGTTAGCCCCCCCCCCCCCCTAAATCCGCTGGTGATTGTAACCACTTTCTGTGATACTTGTAGGGCGATATTGTTGTTACGGTTACTCCTGTTGTTACGAGCCTAGAGCCGTGATTTGGATTTCGGAATCAAAAATTTAAAAAATTGTCTGTTGAGAAAAACTGTTCTGCGTTTTTAGCTATTCAGACCTAAATTTATCTAAAAGCAAAAGTCTTCATTCTCGCTTCAGTGGCAAAAATTTTTCAAATGTAAAAGGGATTCATTAATATTATATTACTAATAACTCATTTTGAAAAATGGTTCTGATCGTTTGTTTTGTTTTCTGCGCAGTTTTGACTGATCGGAACGTTTTGTTACTACATTCATAGCAATCAGCTGTCCTTACACTTTATGAATTTACTTTTGAATATTTTTACCTCCTAGGTGAGTTCTCGGACGAAGTTGATTACCAGCAGAAGAGAGGAGAAAGGGAGTGGAATTCAATTCGACTATTATCATAGTGCTGCTGGAGGAAGCAGTCCCTGCAGGCTGCTGCAGTTCCTCGTACACCTGCAGAAACAGAAACAACAGCAGCAAGCCAAGGCTACTGAAGACGATTCAAACAAGAACCAGGATGAAAATGAGGAAGGAAAGTACCTAGATGCCTATAAGTGCCTAGACGTCGCTCAATCTGTCCTGAAGTTGAAACCTTATCGAGATGAATTAAGTTCTTCTAGTGGAGACGAGAATCAAGATGAAGATAAGCAGGAAGATGAAACAAATACTTGGCTAGAAAATAATTTAAAACCTCAACCAGACCGAGGCGAAGCGGACTCCAAACATGGTGGTTCAAATATGAGTGATCAGACGGCGGGTTCGAAGAACCAAAAAAGCGATGCGAAAAGTTATAAGTCAGAGAAAAGAACAGCGTCCAAACCAAAGAAACCGAAACAAGCAAAAGGCAGGAAACGGAAATCTAAAATGGATACTAGCATGGACAGCGACGAGGAAAAGGCGAAAAGTATAGTTGACAAGCTAGTTAAAAAGTTTAAGGTCGAGAGAGATGATGAAGATAAAAGTGGCACTGGGTCTCGGCCGACCTTGAAGTTATCACATGCAATGACGCAAATGTTTGAAGGACGGAACAAAAAAGATTTCAACGTCGAAGTCACTTACCCTCCAGGCGCTGAACGTGCAAGCCACGTGATACAATACGAGTTTAACTCGAATTACTTTTCAACACCGATACCATTTGAATTATGGAAAAGAATAGATGAACTGGGGATTAATTTGAAAGCTTGTTTTTGTTGTAATGAAACTGGAAATAAGTATAAAGGTGTCCTTTATGGGCCCTATAATTTTAAGAAAGAATGGCCCTCGGAAGAACCTGTGACGTCGAGCGAGGGTTTTTCAGATGTTCTTTCCATATGGATTCACGAGGAATGTCTTCTGAAGTCTCCAGATGTTTGTCTGATTGGATCCCGTCTTTTGGGTCTGCAGGAATTGATCGAGGCCAAACTGGACCCACTAAGTTCTGAAAAAGAAAGTTTCATTTAAAAAAAGTGAAAATAACCGAAGATTTGTCAGTTAAAGAATTTTTTAAGCATTAACATATGCGATATAAGTTCAACCAATTTGGTGTGACCAATTTTTTTTTTAACAATGAGCAGACGAATTGTAATAAGTCTCCTGTCATCCCATTAGCCCAACAGGGTTTTCAAAAGTCATTTCGGCAGAGAGCGCATCTATAATTAAGGTTTTTTAAGGCAGGGCGCACTTATAAATACTTAACAGTTTGTGTAAAAAAAACAAACGTATTTTTGATGAAGTAAAATTTTTCTAAATTATACTAATTAAAAGATTCCCGTCGTAAGATGCGCAAATTTTGGATTACTGACAGAAGAATGAGACTTGTGAATTTTCTCGGCAGAGCGCACGTATAACTATTTTTCGGCTAAGCGCACCCTATAAATATGGTTATTTCGGCAGAACGTCAGGCGTAACGGAGAGCATAAATGCTCAGAAAGACGTAATACAGAATATCGTTCAGTTATCTTTTCATTAGCTTCTAAATTATTGAGTTAGATTACCAATCCGTACGGAATCTAGGATTAATTATACGTAACGGTATGACATCTATCTATTTCACAAGATACATTTTAAAAATTTTCGTTAATTTACTTCTCTTAAAAACACTCCAAATACTCTGGCCTTACTCATAATTAGTGTGATTGAGGGGTTCCAAGAATCTGCAATTGTCCATAGACTCAACTACAACGTTTGCTCAATGGTTTTTGCACTAACTCGAAGTTAAAATTAACAGGAAGTAATTTAAGCTGCACAGCCAAGTTTTGAAAACAAAACAAAACATTTTTGTATGTGCCCGAATTGTACAGCGAAACTTTGCAGTGATTCGTAGATTTTTTTTCAAAAACCAGTCAGTTTTTGTTGTGTTAAATTGCCTTCATTGACTCTTTACAACTGTCTGTTGGCTCCAATCACGGCCCGAATGTAACGCTGTAGCTATAACAGCAGGGGGGCGGGGAGTGGGGATGGCACGGCAGAATGCAAGCAGGGTAGTGCAAGGGGTTCCACCCAGTCATGCATCCATCCTGACGGCCTGTCATCCAGTCATTAAGCATGCTATTCGTACATTTTCTTATCGATCCAATTTCTATCTGTCCATAAATTATTTAACGGGCGTTTAAGTTGACACACGTTAACGAAGTCACTATGTTGACATGTTAAATTGTTTATATGTTTTGCAACGTTTAAAATGCTAGCTGAAGTCGAAGTTTTAAAATATTCTATACGAGTGTTCAAAATGGGCGTTTTTATCTATCCGAGCTATTGGTTGCAATTTTCCGAGCTTATGTGTTTTCACAATGAATCTGTTGGGGCGCGTATCTTGAACTCAGTTCTTTTTTTATTCCCAACGCAATGTTTTTTTTTCAGCCAATTTCTGAATTAGCAACTTTGTACTGGGGGTGCTGTCAGGATTCATTCAAAGATTGCGGATCTTGCCTGAATATTTGAATACTCAAATCCTTTAAGTTTACAAGAGATTACGATATAAAAAATATTCACAAACTTTGAATATGTCAACACTATGGTGGGGCGCTGTCAGGGTTTTCAATTGGGTGCTAACAGGGTGCTCTCAAATGTAAATCCGACCGCCAAATATGACTGTTGAAACCCTTTTTAGTTTCCGGGATCTAACATTTTTGATTTTCAAAAAGTTGTCAAAAAACTTAATTTAGAAAACTTACCCAAAAACCAAATAACCAAATCTAGAGTGCTCTCGGGTTGCAAATCTTGCTTTCAAACTTAATTGCTCAAGTCTGTTTAGTTTTTGAGGTATGACGTTTTTTAATGAATTTTTCAAAAGTTTTCAAAAAAACTTGGACATACAAAAAAAACTTGACAAACTCTGAAATTCCCAGCCCTATATTGGGCTGCTGTCAGGGTGCTCTCTGGGGTTGCAGATCTTGCCTCCAAATATGACTGCTCAAATCATTTAGGTTTCCGAGACATGGCTTTTTTAATGATAAATGGATTAAACCAAACTCTTCAAACTTAATTTCTTGACCTATAGCTTGGAGTTGCCAGGGTAATCTCAAGCGTGACTCTCATAAAAAGTATTGTTTTTAATTTTTTACGCTGGATTAAACGATTGATGGCGGCAAAAAATAATCGTACGGCCAAAGAACTCAGAATATTATGTTTTTTACATTTATTTTCCTTTCGTACTTTCTTGCACTTTCAAAGAGCCATTTTACCATTATTGTATTGGCAAAGTGCAGCTTTGGCTCTGTGTTGAACTTATTTTAGTCGGCTAAATAAGGTATGTTTGAAACCAAATTGGCTGAACAAATTGAAATAGTTTAGTTAAGCAACTTTCTTATAAATCTGGTAAAAGAAAGCTTCTATTGGACATCACGGAAAGTAATCAGGCGAGTGAACAAATGGTATCATTTAATATTTTCTCTTATACAAGTTTTTCGAGATTTTATACTTCTAGAATTTTGTTGCGCTGTGTAAGAGGCTCCTTTTGATATATTTTTGTTACCAATTAACTCCAAATTGATCAAAATGAAGCCGAAATGACCCGTTTTTGAGCTTTAATTTAGTTCCGAAGTCCGCACCATAATTTGCACCATATCAATTCTGGTAAACTTCTAAGAAATTTATGTTCTCTTCATTTTTTTGTTTCATCTCAGCCCAATTGGAGAAAAACACGTTTGAGATATCTAATTTTGTTCAGTTTGTCCGGATAGTTTAAATCAGTTATGTAGATTAAAACGAAGTAACGTTCTTAATTGGTTTCTCAGCCAAGTTGGTTTATATCGCAATCGAGTAAAATTAAGCCATAAAATTTTATGCGTTTTAGGAAATATAAATTAGTGTTAAACATAGCTGAAAGTTGTGTAAAGTAACTTCAAATATATATGAAAGTTATATTTAGTAATGTTAAATTTAGCTGAAAGTTCAAATCTTCACCCAAATTTTTCTTCTTAAAATATCTGCCCTGTAATGACAAACCTTAACTAATGTTTCATTTCTGCTTAGCCATCAAATAATTACCGTACGGCTACACTCATTCTCAGGTTGTTCAATATTAGTGATAAAAATGCAAAAATGCGACTGGTTAATTTTGGTTGATAATTTATGTTAGATGGTATCATGAATATATATGAGTATGTGTCATGTGCTGAGATGTTTGTAAAAACATTCCAGAAGGATCACTCCATAGTTTTTTTCATAATGTTGCAGGAAAAAGTTGAAGCGGCCGCTTTTTCAGGGTGGCCGCGGTATCAGTGCGGTCAGTGACAAGCGTGATCTGTGAGTGACATCGGTGCAAGCAACTGAATATCAGTCCCAGTCTTTTTTTCATCGCACTTCGTTACTGAATCGTTCAAAATAAGCAGGCTTACACAGTATTTCAAGTTTTTTTTTCAGGTAGTAGAAGCAGCTCTGAGAAGAAAAAAGTTAGGTGGGTCAAAAAATTTCGTTAAAAAAATTAGGCAATGAGTTGAGCCAATGAAAAAATGTTGGGTCAAAAAGCTAACGAAGGGCTATTTTTCAGTGCGAGTTTCAGTGCCGTCAGCGCCTGCGATTTGATAGACACTGTGGTCACCCTGTTTTTCCACAGTTGCTGACCTGGTAACAGATGATGATAGCCTCATTGTTGTGATAAACTTATTAAATAGCTTCAGAGACTGCAAATGAATTTGACTAATGATGACTGCAATGCAGCAAAAATAGAAGTGCCAACCCTATGGTTTCATGACCAAATCCCTATCACGGAACCTGACTTTAAAAAAATCGAAAAAAAAATGTCTCAGTCCATGTACGGAGGATGATGAATATGCAAATCAAGTCAGTTTGACCAAAAAGATATAAAATATTGTTTCTACGTCAATGAGTGAGCTGGTGCCATCCATCATGATCAACTGAATAAGGAGATCGGAACCATGCTCAAAACTACAATCGACCAGGCAGTGATTGGCATCAAAGAAGATATTCAGAAATCTTTGTCTAATGACATGAACCAACTCGAAACAACCTAAAAGCCCAATGTGAAGCAGTGCAGCTATAAATGTACAACAGGCGTGATAATGTTAGAATTTTAGATGTTCCCGAAACTCTAGAACAAAGAAAAAGTCGAGAACCAAAGGAAACAACTCTGAGCAAAGTTCTGAGTATTGCAGGCAATATAGATGCTGGTATAGATGAAAGAGATATATCTATGGCCCACCGACTTCTTCAAAGTCTGGCAGAGTCAAACTAATAAAACTCAGATTCACCCGGCGGATTGCAAAATTTAACCTTTAAAGAAAAAATAAAAGTGATGAATAGTGGCCAATTTCAGAATGTTAGGAATTTTGAAGACATATCAGGACCTCGAGCAAATTTTCGTCGTATGATAGCAGAATCAGCTCTTGCTGAACGAGAGACGGAATCATTCTTTTTGTGTGGAAGAAAGATGGAAGATTTTATCAATTTGAAAGTCTCTACGACGGAGGAAAATTTTTTTGGGCTTTTCCAATTGATGAAGTGGCAGCTTGTTTTAATAGTGTTTTTTTTCCAACCATCAAGGCAAGAATGAACATAAATTCTTCGTCGTTCAAGAGTGCTAATACTTTTTCTATTTCATTTTTGTCAAATGTTCATTCTATAGAAAACACCTTAGAAGATATTGAAAGCGTTGGTATTAATTTTAATTTTGAAAGTGCAAGTCAGTCTATATATCTTGTTGATAGTTCAGTGCATAAAATAATCAGTATCATTCAAAATTTGAAACCGAAACAAATTTGCGGCATTGACGATACAAGCAATATCTTCTTACTGAAGAGTTGCTTCATTTTTGATCTCTACCTAAAATTTATAACTAGTCTATCCTTCAAAACAGGATTGTTTCCTAATTCACTCAAGTAAGCAAAAGTGTTACCTCTTTAAAAATCTAGAGCAAAATGGGTTTAAACAACTGCCGACCATTATCTTTGCTCAATCAACTATCTCGAAAAAATCTACCTGCTCTCTGAAAGTCAATTTGGGCTTCGTCAAGATTATGCCACAGTAAATGGTTTAGCTGTAATGACTGAATGCTTAAGGCTTGGTAATGATAGAAATTTAAAATGCAGTTTTTCCATTGATTTAAAAAGGCCTTTGATAGGCTTGATCACAAAATCCTAATTTGAAAACTGGCTTTCGAGGCCAAAATAATAATTGTATTCGTAGTTAGTTATCTGAACGATGCCAATATGTGTACGTCACTGATGCTCCATTTGATTGGTTACTTATCATCACAGGTGTTCCACAGCGCTCGGTGCTTGGCCCCCCTCTGTTTTGGCCCCCCTCTGTTTTAAGTTCCTAACAATGATAAGCATTTTGCAGCCGATAGCGCTGATATCTTTCTTTTTGCTGATTATACTAATGTTGCTTTCAACAGCGCAAATCTAGAAGAGTTAATGGTTGAATTGCAACAAACTAACGTTAAACTATTTTAATCTATACTATATTTAAATTCGAGTGACAGCTGTCTCCCATGTTTAAGCATAATAATTTTGCATGTTTAACGGAAGAATTTTTTTCATGTTTAAGCTATATCAAATATTGCAATGCTTGAGAAAGTTTTTCAATTGGTTTTCCGCAAGGTCAATAATTTTTCAGTATTTTGTTCTAGGCCAAATTAAGTCTGTCTCTCTGTATACCAGCTTTTTAAATTAATTTGATTGTCTGTCTACCCGTCGCCTAATTTTTAAACTTTCATCTCTTTTCTCATATTTTTAATGTCGGGCTTCACTATTTTGCCATGTTTAACCTTTTTCAGCGTTTTATTTTTGCATTTTCAACGATAGTATATTTTCACGTTTAAGCTATATCGCATATTGCAATGGTTAAGTTTTTTTTGATTTTCCATATTAAATTGAGTGTTTTTTCATTAAGTTTGAAAATAGCAAACCAATAGTAGGAAATTGTTATAGTTATCCCAGGTTTTGCGATTCTGGCCTCCATATATGATTAACCAAATCCTTTTAGTTTTACGAGATAGGCAATTTTGGAGATTTTTAAAACTTTCTAGAAATTTAATTTTGAAAAATTTTCTCAACTTTTGAATTTCTCACCCTGTAGTTGGGTGCTGCTAGGGTACTCCCAGGGGTTGCGAATCTTGCCTACAATTCTCACTTCTCAAATCCTTGTAGTTTTAGAGATATGACGTTTTTTATGATTTTTTCAAAAATTTTTCAAAAGCTTAGATTTTAAAAAATTTCAAAACGTTGAAGATCTCAATCCTATTGTTGGATATTCTGAGGGTACTCTCAGGATTGCGAATCTTTCCTTTGATTTTGGCTGCTCAAATCCTTGTAGTTTTCGAGATATGACGTTTTTTTTTTGGATTTTTTTCAATTTTTTTTAAGAAAACTTAGATATAAAAATTTTCACAAAACTTGAAATTATTATCTCTGTAAAGAGGCTTTGTCAGGGTACTCTCAGCAGTTGCGAATTTCGCCGACAAGTATGACTGCTCAAATTCTTGTAGTTTTCGAGATATGACGTTTTTTATGATTTTCTCCGAAATTTTCAAAAAATAACTTAAATGTATAAAATTCCAAACTTTTGAAGATCTCAATCCTCTAATTGGAATCGATGAGGGTAATCTCAGGGGTTTGCAAATCATGCCTCTGAATATTGCTGCTCAAATTCTTGTAATTTTTGAGATATGACTTTTTTAAGGATTTTTTCAAAATTTTTCAGAAAACTTAGCTATAAAAAAATTTGGAAAATTTTGAAATTATTACCTCTGTAGTGAGGCTCTGTCACGGTACTCTCAGGAGGTGCAAATTTTGCCTTCCAATATGACTGCTCTAATCTCTACAGTTTTCGAGATATGACGCTTTTTATGATTTTCTCCGAAATTTTCAAAAAAACTTAAATGTTAAAATTTCCAAAACTTTGTAGATCTCAATCCTCTAATTGGAATCGATGAGGGTAATCTCAGGGGTTTGCGAATCATGCCTCTGAATATTGCTGCTCAAATTCTTGTAATTTTTGAGATATGACTTTTTTAGGATTTTTTCAAAATTTTTCAGAAAACTTAGCTATAAAAAATTTGGAAAATTTTGAAATTATTACTTCTGTAGTGAGGCTCTGTCACGGTACTCTCAGTAGGTGTAAGTTTTGCCTTCTAATATGACTGCTCAAATCCATATAGTTTTCGAGATTTGACGCTTTTTATGATTTTCTCCGAAGTTTTCAAAAAAAACTTAGATGTTAAAAAGTTCCAAAACTTTGAAATTATTAATCCTGTTATTGGAATCTGTGAGAGTGCTTTCAGGGGTTTGCAAATCTGGCCTCTGAATATGTATGTTCAAATTCTTGTAGTTTTCAAAATATGACGTTTTTTAAGGATTTTTTTCTCTAAATTTTTCAGAAAATTTAGATAAAAAACTTAAACAAAGCTTGAAATTTCCATATTTCTAAAGAGGCTCTGTTAGGTCGGTCACTCCCAGTAGTTGTGATTTTAGCCTTCAAATACGGCTGCTCAAATTCTTGAAGTTTTCGAGATATGACATTTTTTCTTATTTTTTCAAAATATTTTCAGAAAACTTAAAATTTTTTTTTCAAAATTTGAAATTTCAACTCTTGAGTAGGGGGCTGTTAGAGTACTCTCAGGAGTTGCCAATCTTGCCTCTGTGACTTCTCAAATATTTGTAGTTTTCCAGATGTGACCTTTGTGATTTTTTGTAAAAAATTTCAGAAAATTTGAATTTTTTTTCCAAAACTTGAAATTCCGAACCCTATAGTTGGGGACTGTCAGAGAACTCTCAGGAGTTGCAAATCTTGCGTCCAAATGCAACTGCTCAGTTGCTTTTAGCTTTCGAGATGTGACGTTTTTTTATTTTTTATAAACTTAGATTTAATAAAAAGTTTCAAGGTTTTATGGTTTTTTCAAAATTTGAATTGAAAAAAACTAATAAAAAAACTTCTGAAATTACCAACGCTGTAAAGTGGTGCTGTCAGAATACCCTCAAAGGATGCAGATGTTTTTTCCGATAAAGTCGGATTTTTTTGAGTTGTTAAAATTCGAAGCACGGAGGGTGCGTTATACGCTAGTTAGTTTTGATAATAGTGCTCCCAACCTCAATATATTACTAAATAACACTGTTTATAATCCTGGCGTATTTTGCAAATATCATGGTGTTTTAGTTGACACTTACTTATCATTCACAATCCTATACCAAAAGTAAAATGTAAAATTGCGGAGGCATTTCATAAATGAGACATTTTGTTCCTAAATTAGTGGTGTTGAAGTACTACAATTCAAACGTGAAGCCAACAATGCAAAATGGCTTATCGGCTTACGCTGGTATAAGCTTTGCTGTTTTGAACCAACTTTTAATGGTGCAACGGAAACTTCTCAGAATGACTTACTCCAAAAGAAATTGAAACTATCGCTCGAGCATTTATCGACAAAAAATTCTTACTGTTCAAGAGCTCTAGGCGTATGATTTACTAAAACTTTGTTTTCGTTCTTTGAAAAAACGACACCCGACATCTTTTTTGAGTTCCACTTTTTCAGTATAAACCTTTGTTCATCTAACAAGAAAATCGAATTTCGTACATTTGAGCTTCCATTCTGTAACAATAAAAAGTAATGCGCATTGACATATGGAGGTTCCAAATTATTCTATTTTTAAGTGTCA